AGAAGCTAAGAAGGAAACAAAAAGACCAGAACATATCCCCTCCAACAGCTGATCCAGATAAGAAGGGATTAATACCAGATAAGCAGAAAACAATACTCTAATCAAGGAATTACCAAGAATAAAACCACACCCCACCAACACGGGAAGGGCAAGCTATTTGATATAAACAGCTATTTGATATAAACCCCACACTCCTTACACTTAAGCTGTTACATAATTGAATAATGAAACATGTGCAAGAAACCAACCAAGCTCAAAGAGTACCAAGGACTTTTCTATAAATTGTATTTTAGACTGGGTAGTTGCTGGTAAGTATATATCCTCCTACCACCAGAAATTTGTTGAAAAAGAAATTATTTAGTCATCCAGATTACTCTAGATCAGGGGTGTCAAACTGCCAGCCCACGGGCCGGATGCGTTATCGGAAGCTGCGCCCACCCCATTGCCAGTAATGGCAAAACCGTCCCGATACGTTGCGCAACGTCATGTGATGTCGCGAGTTTGACATGTCTGCTCTAGATGAACAATGTTATATATGAGTGCTTTTAGCTGTAAACAGTAGATTAAAAATAAATGGCTTGCTATCTTTTGCACTTCTTCATCTGTCTTCTGGTAGATTGTTCCTGAGAACCACATAAACCACAATTATTTACTTTCTTTTACTTGTTCAGTTTGAGACATTTCTGATTATTTACTTTAGGTCTTTGTTTCTCTGTAGTAAATATAAATCATAGGGCCTGGACAGAATGAATGGCTTTTTGTGGTGTGTTAATAAAAGAAGCAAGTACACAGCTGTAATGATTAATCAGAATGTAGCAGAAGGTAGTATTTATAGATCCATTATATAATTACATAATAGGTACAGTGAATGAATCTATTGTACATATTTTATGCTGCTGAAACCCAATCTGGAGTGCTCTAGATGTTGGAAGATTGTCCAAGTGAGGGTTGATTAGAGTTGTAGTTCAGAACTGTCAAGATTATTACATGTTATTCCCATCTAGGTTTGGGCTAATGGTAAATGGAATGTATTAGAATCCTGATGAATGTTTACCAAGATATCCTATCCATGAGTCCAAGATTTCATCTCTGGTGGAGATTATATTTTTTTGGGACATTGGGGAAATGTTCTTCTAAACTAGCTGTAAAAATTTTGGTGAGCTATGGGACTTTGTGAGAATAAAGGACTGAAGCATTAATCTGAAGTAGCAATTGTGAGTGAATGCAAAGTGAAAATTTGTGCAGAAATATTATGGATTCTAATGAGCAGCATGGTAGCCTAGAGGTGGAGCTTTCACCTCACAATCAGGAGATTGTGAGTTCGATACTAGGTAGTGGCAAATATTTCTCTCTCTGAGTGCAATGTGTTATTGTCTGCTGCAAACTCTGTGTAGGTATCAGGAAGGGCATCTGGCCAGTAAATGCTCAAGCTCTGTTCAGTCGCCCCAATTCCATCCCGATGCAAGAGATTACAGAGTCTTTAAAAGAAATAATTATGGATTCTAATGGCTTAAAGTCCATTTTATGAGGAATTATCCTTGAAACTATAGATATGGAAGATTCTATGAAGATGCAAATAGGTATTTTAGGGACAGGAGCCATTTTAGAGCTGCCAGGCTCTAAATTACTTTATTAATTTCAGATTCGGACCTCAGGATTTTGCAAGCCACAGTATTCCCTATGAAGTGTCACTTGGACTTTAAAGAATAGGAAGAGCAATGATGCGTTTCAATTTTGGCGTTGGAGAAGACTCCTGAGAGTCTGGTGGATAGCCAAGAAAACAAATGGATGGATCATTGAACAATTCAATTCAGAGTTTTTGCTTGAGGCACAAATGACCAGACTCAAGTTATCCTACTTCAGAAACATTATGCCAAGACTCAGCTCTCTGGAAAAGGCTCTATTGCTTAGAAGAAAAAGAAGAAAAAGACCACCAGCAGCAAGGTGGATGAGTACATCATTAAGAGACATGAAAGGACAGGTTATATATAGATTGTTGTGGAGTAAATCTATCTGTAGGGTCAACACACTGATAAAAATAAATGTTATTACTTGTTTGTAATACAGTTGTAGAAAACTCAGTCAATTGTATATGAAAGGCTATGAAACTGTTCATCGAGCTTTGTAGGAAATGATGCAACCAATGACACACACACGCACACACACACAGAGAGAGGCATACAGGCAGGCAGGGGGGATATTACATTATTACTGTGCTGAAAATGGATCTTGCGATTTCTTTTTTTCTCTCTCTCCTTCAAATTTGCTTTTCTTTTTCTCAGGGTGATTGAGGATTTCTGTCAAATCTCTCTTGTTAGCAATTTTGAGCGGACTTTATTGCTGGAGATGGGAGAAGCTGCTGCAGCTGACATTGAGGGTTTTGGGAGGGGGGGTTGGTTTGGTTTGGTTTTGCTATTAGCCATCTTCCCATCATTTTGAAGTCTGCATTTCTCTGTCTGAGAAAGGAATATCTTTTTCTTGGGATTTCAACAGAAGTAAGAAAAAAACGGAAATTAGAAGAACTGGATCATAGGACACATTCTCACCACCCTGGATTAAACAAAATAAGCGTGTACTTAGAGCACCAAGGGAAGGGGGGAGCCACAGAGTTCTTTAGACTAATTATCATTCAATTAACCTTTCACTGCCACCTTCAGCTTTAGTTTTCAATAAATATTTGCATTTCTCGCTCATAATGTTCCCCTTATTTCCCTTATAAAATTTACATTTTCCCCTACCATTTCATTTTAAAAAATCATTTAAAACTGTTGAAATTTTGCCTTTTTTCTCTTACCCTATTCATAAGTAAATAATATTCTTATATTGCTTATTGTTATTTAGTGCTGAGTATAAGAGCAGTGTTGGTGCAGTTGTTAGAATGCAGTACTGCAGGCTAACTCACTGCTCTCTCCAGAAGTTCAAAACTGACTGGCTCAGGGTTGACTCAGCCTTCCATCCTTCCGAGGTTGGTAAAATGAGGACCCAGATTGTTGGGGGCAATATGCTGTAAATCACTTAGAGAGGGCTGTAAAGCATTGTGAGGCGGTTTATAAGTCTAAGTGCTATTGCTATTTTTTAAAGTTTATATTTGCTACAGTTGTGTATAGTTGCTTAGGGCATCGGTTCGTCTTAATCCAGCCCTAATTCTCACACAACTGTTGGCCAATTTATAATTTTAAAAGTGCACAGCATTATATCCAGGATAGTTTCTCCAAGATGCCATTCTTTGGAGAAAAAAAAAAGAAGAGCTTTCATCAAAGCATTTGAGAACTGATAATAAAAATAAAAACTGACAATAAAAAGGGATATTTTTTCTGCATTGAATTAATTCATTAAAAAACTTGTCCAGATGTGCCCTATGCTCTACACAGTCCATCCACACTGAATCTCAACTTTTCATAGAGAAAAAAAAAAACTGTCTAGAGAATTACTTGAAATTTCTTTTCTTTTAGATGAGGAAAGGTAAGAGAAAAAGAAAGAGAAGGAACTTTAATCAGCCTCCCCCTGAGGAATCCAAATGACCTGTAACTCTAGGCACAGTGGAAATCATCAAATCTCTTGCCTGCCATTCAAACTGGATCTTTGTAACTTAACTGCAAATGTCTTTACTTCACTGCAGGTGTAGACGTTCTGGACCATTAATAGCTTAAAAGCAAGTAAAAATGGGGCAGGTTCACCATCAAGAGATGGCAGGCTGACTCTCATGAAAGGTGGGCCAGAAACCTAGAGTGGCTAATAATTGTCAAAGGAGGAGGGGCTATTTGGAAGTTTCATTTTCCTTGGAAATGGAAATGGGTAATATCTGGATCTCATTGCCACTGGGTGAAAAAAACAAAAGAAAACTTCATTGAGCTGGGTTATTTATATATTTTTATGTCTATCTCATTTTTCCATGTCTAGAATGTGCTAACAAATTATATATATATACACACTCTCATTAAAACCCAGTTAAATAGCATTCTGTGATTAGCATCTGAACTGGTGTATTCACTAAGTAACAGATAAGGGTAGTGCTAATCCTAATCCTATCTTGGAATCTGGGATTGGTGAGGGAACCTCTCTTCCTGCTTCTTTGACCGGAATCTATTGTAATTTCAATTCAAGCATGGACAATTAGTTCAGTGTCAAAATGATAACAGAATAACAGAGTTGGAAAGGACCTTGGAGGTCTTCTAGTCCAAACCCCTGCTCAGGTGGGAAACCCTATACTATTTCAGTTTTATTTTCCCTAGCTTTCCCTGTGAATATCAGCCTCACTGGACAACTTTATATGGCAACAGGACAGATGGGGTTTTAAAGTTCATATAGCTAGGGTATGTCTATATAATTACTATGGTCAATTATTATTACTATGATGCTATACTCTACTATTATTACTCAATAACTATACTATTACTATTCTATTACTATTATCTAGTACTCAGTCTATTACAATTAGCTATATACTCTGCTCTATATTACTGGTATGCATCAATGTTTCTTTTTCAAGCCTGTTCTGTCTTTGAGATTATTTTTTTTTCTTTTAATGGCCAGCTTGTAGAGCTCTTGCACCTTTTTATATTTTGTTTTGTCTTTTCTTTTGAAAAAGAAAAATACTTCTTTTCCTCTCTTTTGGACTGACTAGCCTTCCTTTGACTTCTGTTCTCAGTTTACTGGTGGCTGCAAAGCTCCAAAATATATATCTTCCTCCGTTCTCCTCCCATACCTGGGGAAGAGAGTCAAATGGGAGGGAAATAAGGCAATGTAACTGCCTTCCATTTTTTCAAGCAACCTGCTCGTCTCCATGAACCAACAGCAACTTCTGAATGGTTTTCAAAAGCAGCTCTATTAACTAATCTTTTGAGGTGAAATGTTTGGTAAACTGATTAACTCGGGAGTTTATTTTCAGGTTTCAGTGCAAAAGTAGTTAGATATGAGGGAACCAGGGCAGGAGGAGGTGTGTGTTTGCTGTGTCCCCTTTTGTTCACCACCACCACCACCCTCATTCTTTTCTCTTGCAGACCCACCTGCTGTTGAGCCAACATTCCTTGAGATTCGACAAGGCCAAGGCCGAAGTGTGACCATGAGCTGCCGGGTGCTGAGGGCTTACCCAACTCGGGTTTTGACCTTTGAGTGGCGATTGGGCAGCAAGCTTCTTCGGACAGGAAGATTTGATGCTCAAGACTCCACAGAGTATACAATCAGAAGCCTATCAAGGGACAGTTACGGAAATTATAGTTGCAACATCATCAATGAGGCAGGGGCTGGCCGGTGCAGCTTTCTCGTGACAGGTAGGACATCTACATGCTTCCCAAGTTGGTGTTGACACCGTACAGAAGCTGCAATGTCTTAAAATGCACGAGGTCCATGTATAATTCTATAGTCAAGCAGTGGTGTCTGATGTTTGTGTGTGTGTGTGTGTGTTTAGGGAAAGAGAAGGAAAAAAGAGCAAAATAAAGCTTCGTCTGTATAAAATTATTGACTGTTTGCTATGTTTATAAATCCCTGCAGGATCTCCATTTCTGAAGACGAATGCTGCTATTACTCTCAAAACATTAAAACATTTGGTCTTTCTTTTAATAGCATCCTTGTGTTCGGCAGTCCAGTTTGAATTCCTGCTATACATTTTATCCAGATCAGTTAAAAACTATTAATAACTGCATTTGCAGAACTAATGTTGCATATGCTTGGTTGGTTTTCATCTTTTTTATGTGCATGATTTAGCATCAAGTCAACATTGACTCTTAATGATTCACATCAATAAACTTATTTCAGGGTGATCTGATCCTTCAGGTGTCCCAATGGTGCACCAACTGCTGCAATAATTACGCCCATCCACCTGGTTGTCTTCTCCTTCTCTTTCTTTCCAGCTCACCAGCTAGATCTTTGTATACTGTAATGTGTTCAAAATAATAATTTGAGCGTGGTTACTTGGGCTTCAAGTGAGAACTCTCAAGATCCTTTATTACAAAGAAAAAATAAATTAATTCAAGTTGAATACAGATGACTCCACCTTCTTAGAAGGTGGTAGATGACTCCACCTTCTTAGAAAAAGGTGTCTGATGTTTTCATATGAAAAAAAGAGAGAACAATAAATGCATTCCACTCTTGGATGGGGTTGATCTGGCTGCTCTATTCAAATCCAGCTATTAGGATGAACAAGGAAGCTATTTCACTAATCTCTAACATATGTATATCTACTATTCTTCCTCCTCTGCTTCCTTCTCTTTGTCTACTTTATGTATTTATTATTCTGTGTACCATCTGCTAATAGATCCTTTGGGGTCAGTTTATTGTTGTAAACAAACATTCTCTTGTGATAAAGTTTATACCGTATTTTCCTGAAAATAAGACCCACTCAGAAAATAAGCCCTAGCATGATTTTTAACATGCACCTAATATAAGCTGTACCCCCAAAATAAGCCCTAGTTAAGAGCCCGCCCACTCCGTCCCACTGTCTGGTTGCTCGCTGCCGCAATGGGGCAGTAGGATGCATGGTGCGCTGGTGCCACCACCACCCTGCACACGTGCACCTCAGGGCCCCCCGCAGCCAAGCCACTCCCCATTTGGTGACCTCTCCTTGCCTGTTCAATGACCCGGCTGCCTGCCCGCCTCTTCCCTTTCACTCCCCTCCCAAGCTGAACTGCCTGCTATGAAGAATGGATGAGGGAGGCTTGGTCCCCTCCACTGTTTCTGAGCCAGGGGGGAGTGAAGGCAAAAGGCCTCCGCCACTGCTGCACAATAGCCATGTCAGCTTCTGAAGAGATTTTCTTTGATCACCACTGCCCCCGGTTCACTCCACCCCACCCTGCAGATTACCTGTCCACCGACGGCAGCCTCCTCCTTTTCCTGCCACTTGGATTCTGCGGTGCTGCCTTGCACTGCATGCTCCCCGTTCATGCCTGTACTGTATGGTTTCAATGGCAGCAGCTCTGGAGACCAGTGCCATCATCCCTGGGCTGAATTGTACAAGGGAGAATTATACCAAGACTGATGGCGGGGATGCTCTGAAGACCACACTGCCATCGCTCTAGCCACAAACTCTCCCATGGCTGTATGGGCAGAGCCATGAAGGGGGCCAGGGGGCCGAAACCAGCCCAGAGATGATGCAAAGAGCCCATGAGCAACCAGATGGTGGGATAAAGTGGGTGGGCGGCCTCGCAGCGCATCTGGCAAGGACTGGCCCAGTGGTAGCAGTGCTCCCACTCGCCTGCACTGCACAGGCTTCACAGCCCGAGTCTGCCGGCCAAGGGGCTGGCAGGCTGCACCTGTTGCCGGATGCCTTCAGCCCCCACGCACTCACCACCTCCTGGAAAAATAAGACATCCCCCGAAAATAAGCCCTTATGTGTCTTTTGGACCAAAAATAAATATAAGACCTGGTCTTATTTTCAGGCAAACATGATAGCTGTTATCCTTGATATATGATCCATGTAGATTTCAGTTCATCTGTCTCATCTATATTTTGATAATCTATTAAATGACATTATTATTATTAAAGAAACTAAATGAAGATTAATTTCAGTTTTCTGGTTGACACTGTATAAAACTTGAATGCAGCAAATTAGGATAACTTCAAGAGCAGCAACATAATCTACCATTTATTTCATCCTATTTCCAGCATACAGATCAATTCAGTTAGTATGTCTTTATTTGTGAAATTTATTGCTCCAATGACATTTTATTTTACTTCTTTCAGTGAAATGCAGATTCAGAAAATTCAAATATATTCTATTAAACTCTTTCTCCAATTAAGTATCCTTAATTTTATTCTAGCAAAACTTTCTATGTTATCTTCCCTTACTTAAAACATAGTTATAGATATAGTACATGCATAATGGGATATGCCCAAATATTCCCAAAAGTAAACTCCTGAATTGTTCATTTTTCACCATTTGTAGTTCAAATATTACTTCCATGCTGTCTCCTGGGGTTGATTCTCATGAGCCCAGTCAGATTTTCTACTTCTATAACAGTTATGATTCCCTCATAGCTTAAATCTATGCATTCAGCTACCAAACTTAATACAACTGAGAAGAGATCCTCAAGGCTATATATTCAGCTTCTCTTTGTATATTGGCCAAGTTTTCAATACTGTAAATATTCTGATACGTATTTTTATCAGGTTACGTTTCTCTCATCCAAATAGAAGCATCAGATGGTGCTAATCTTAATTCCTGTTTCAACAGCTACCCTTTACTATTCCCATCTTCTATATGTCATCCATGAGGGTGAACTGTTTGTAACATGATAACAAAGAAGGGAATGCTGATCTCATGTTTGCGTATGAAGAGAGATCTTATCTTATTTTAACAATACCTTATTTCAGGTCTTATACCTGAGAGCCATGGTGGCACAGTGGTTAGAATGCAGTATTGCAGGCTAATTCTGCTGACTGCCAGTAGTTTGATTCTCGCTGGCTCAAGGTTGACTCAGCCTTCCATCCTTCTGAGGTTGGTAAAATGAGGATTCAGATTGCTGGGGGCAATATGCTGACTCACTAAACTGCTTAGCTCTCTGTAAAGCACAATGAAGTGTCTAAGTGCTATTGCTATTGCTAAATCTTCTCCAGACATTTAGCCGAAACAAGGCATTTCACTGTATTTAAGGAACATAGGGTAATGCATGCTAGCTATATCTCCTCTTTTCCCCCAGTTCATTGTATTTGTAAATTTCAAAATGGTCATATAAAATCATTAACCTGATTTAAGCTTGAATTAATTTCAGATGTCTGAGAAACTAATCCAAGATTATCTCAAGAGTCCATTCAGTTTACACTGCTTGTTCTTTCAGCTGGCTTAGTCTGTTAACAATAAAAAAAAGTTGTCAATTAAGTTAAAATGAAGCAAAAGTGCACTGCACATTTTAACCATATCTTCTTTAAATGCAAAAGCGTATTGAGAATCTGACATGGCTCATCTTTGCAAATAAATTGTATCTTCTTGTGAAGACAGATGCATTGATTGCCCTGTAAATCTCTCTTGGCCATTGATGACATCTCTGTAAAGGAAGATTTGTCTGCAAGTTATTAGCTTCCATTTTTCAGAGTAAATGAAAGATTCAGGCTATAAACTGGTAGGAGAAATTACATATTTTATGTGGATCTGTGCATATTTTTTTTCTGAGGACAGCAAGCACCATTACATTTTCCTTCCTGAGCCATGAAATTGTCAGCTTCAACAGTGGACAGCAACTTGTCTGGAATGGTATAGTGTCTCCTGCTTCAGCAAGGGGTTGGACTAGAAGACCTCCAAGGTCCCTTCCAACTCTGTTATTAAAATCTGTTAAACATTCTTTTAAGATGTACTTATTTAGTTTAAAGTTTTCAAAGTTTACCTTTAATAAGCACCAATTTGCCCAGACATTTTGTCACATCAAAACTGTAACAATGTAATCTTTGGGGCAAACAAAGATATATATTTGCATAGAAATGCAAATTTGCATTTCAGGTGCCTTATTGAAGCCACTGTTTGTCTTCAAGAGTTTTATCTTAAAGGAAAATCAGAAGGGCCAGCATTCTTGAGTTAAGGCCACGCTTGACCTTTAAATGATGCACTGTAGTAATATTTTTTAAAAATGGGCAAGAATCAGGTCAACAAAGTGAAAATAGGCATGACAAGTTTAATTTAATTTTAAGCTTGTTAGGGTTTAAAATCACACTCCACATATTTAATTGATTCCCCATTGTAATATACAAATAATGATTTGCAGCAAATTCTGTAGGAGCTCTGTGTGTTTTATTTAAGGCTTTGGTGAGCCACCTATGTCTGTAGGGCTACAGATGGTATATCTCTGTAATAAACATTGTCGATATGGAGGTTGCATAATTTAGCCTTCTCCAACAGGGAAAATCTAGCAGAAATGGGGATTTCAGCTTCCAGAAAGCCCCAGCCAAATTGTCAAGACTGAAAATTCTGGGAGTTGAAGTCCACATATCTAAAGACTACCTAGATTGAGGAAAGTGGATATGTTTCACTTCTGCCTCTTATTAAAATTATGTTATGTCTGTAGTCATTTAGGTATCAAGGAAGCATGTTTGTTTATTTGTTCATTTGTTTGTTTATTGGGTGATCTCCCAGCTCTAAATTACTTCTATTCATCAAAGAATGGATTTTTTTTTGTTCCTTATTTACTTTAGGTGGAGAACTTCTCCCTGCCAAAAACAAAACTTTCACCCACAGGAAAGAATATAGTTAAGAGAAACAGCAGTTACTTCAGATATGATTAATTTCAATAGGAGCTTCAGGTGTAGTTGCCTCAAAGGATTTGCTTAACTTGATCTCTGAATTAAC